TGCACCATAGGAACACCCCAGTGCACACATGAAGTGCACCATAGGAATACCCCAATGCACACATGAAGCCGATTGAAAACAAAGTGAGCATCCTGAGTATAGGCACCAAATGGAGGAGCTGACTGGCTTTGTCACGTGAGCTGCTGAAATCTATACCTTCTGTCCCCTTCTCTGCACAAAGAAACTACACAGCAACATTGCTTTTTTTTCTTTATCACTAACTATGTTTCATTTACTCTGGGTGTACACAGTCTCACCCATGTGTAAATGGGCCAGAGTATGCCTGTGGAGGTCAGAGGACAACCTTCCACCATCTGGGTCACCCACTGAGCACAGAGCAACGCTTCAGCCAGTGCGAGGTTGTCCCTAATACTATAACAGATAGAAAACCCCCCATTGCCTGGTCATGGCCATGTAGTATGTGAGTGAAATAAGCGCAGTTACATCCATGACCAGACTCAGGTACACACAAAATGCCTGCCAGGCACATCCGTGTGCAGCACTCAGGTACACACAGAATGGCATAGGAGGTATTGAAAATACACAGCTCTTACTGGCTCACTGTTGTGATAGAGCAGTGGTTCTCAGCCTTCCTAATGTTGCGACCCTTTAATATGGTTCCTCAAGTCGTGGGGACCCCCAATCGTAAAATTATTTTTGCTTCTACTTCATAACTGTGATTTTGCTACTTCTGTAGCTGATGTGTGACCCCTGCAAAAGAGTCGCACCCCACAGGTTGAGAACCGTTAATCTAGACACTTGATAAACAGAGTATAATGTATGTGTTTGCTTCTGTTTGCCTCCTACAGATGGATCTGTCCGTGGAAACCCTCTTTTGCTTCATGCAGGAGCGCCAGAAAAGATACGCCAAGTATGCGGAGCAGATCCAGAAGGTTAACGAGATGTCGGCCATACTGCGCCGTATCCAGATGGGCATCGACCAGACGGTGCCACTGATGGAGAGGCTGAACAGCATGCTGCCCGAGACCGAGCGCCTGGAGCCCTTCAGCATGCGGCCTGAGCGGGAGCGGCACTAGCAGGCACCTGCCTCCCTGGCCGCAGCTCCTCCAGCCTCTGCCTGGCCCTAATGTTTGCTTAGATGCGGTTGACCGACACCCGACTTTCCCAGGTGGTCGTTCTTGATTCCCGAAGTTGGGACAGCTGAATTTTTGAGTTCTTTAAAGAACATTGCCTCCAGAGTTAGTTTTATTTTGCTCAGATTTTTTAAATTAAAAGTGTATATAGACTAGCTTCTGCAATGAAACTGGAGAAAACGTTAACAAACTGTGTTCTCCTTTGCACCGGTGAGACTCCGGCTTCTATGGGTTGTGGTCGTAAATATAAGATCTAAGTCCAGTTCCCGTCCCCACGAAAGCTGCCATCACATCAGGGAGCTGTCTCCCAGTGTCCTCCTCCCCTCCCGGAACACTGCCTGTTTCCAGGTGCCATGCCCCTCCCTCCTGCGGGCCGCTGGAAACTGAAGGTGCCCTTCACCCACTCTTGAAGTTGTCTGTTAGAACTGCTTGCCAGACGGAATTCAGCCTCTGTGACCGTGGGCAGACCTCGGCCTCCATAACAAGGTCTGCACCAACATCTGATCGCACCCTCCAATAGCGGTCTTTCGCTCACTCCAGAGATCCGCTGAGCTCCGCTGGTGCTCCAGGGACATGAGAAGGACTACCTAGCCTCTGCCTTCCACTGTCCGTGCTGGGGATCATGAAGCTGAGGAAAGAATGCCTGCCCATCTCAGGAGTTCAAGGAAGAAGGCCCAAGGGAGGGAGGGGAGGGATGAATGCCGGACAGGCATGAAGAGAAGAGCTGGGGTCTGAAGAGATCAGGGCTGGAGTCTGCAGCTGCTACCTTGCTCCCTGTATTCTTCCAGAACCCAGAGTATCAGGAGCCAGAGAGCCTTCAGGGTTTTTATAAGATTAAAATTAATCTGCTTAATTTATTGTGTAACAGCTAAATTGATCTGATTCTAATCTTATTTTTTATTTTTAATTTTATTACTATTGTGATTGTGTATATGATGTGTTGTGTGTGAATTGTCACAGTGCATGCTTGGAGGTCAGAAGACAATTTTGTGGAGCTGGTGCTCTTCCACCTTTATGTGGGTTCTGGGGATCAAATTCAGGTCTCTTGGCTTGCATGACAAGCACCTTTACCCAATGAGCCATCTTATTAGACCCGCAAAATCCTGGTTCTTAATCAGATACTAATTTATAATATTTTTAAAATCCAAAATAAAATGTAGGGCACGAGACAGTTGAATGGCATTGGAAGCATGACTGTGTACTTGTAGCTGGCCTGGAATTCACTCCTAGGCCAGGCTGAGCTTGTGGCCGCTTCCTGCCTGTATCCATAGTGCCAAGGTTACAGACTTCACCATTCCCAGTATGTCGAGTATGTTCCAGATGACTAAATACATAAAGACTGTCCATTTCTTTGGAGCTGGAAGAACCCAGGCAGTACCTACCACTTCCCGGGTAGCCTCTGGGTCATAGTCTGCCTCCCTTCTTGGAGCTGATAACTTCATTCCCCATGTGGAAGGAGGTGAGGTGGGCTGAGAGAGTGTTGGGGAGCTGCAGCAGGGAGCTGAGCATGGGGCCATGGTTTTCCCTGTGTTGAGCCCCCAGTGAAGGTGGTCTGTACATATTTTTTCTCATGACTGGAGCTTTAGCCATTTCTAGAACAATTCCCAGGAGTTACAATGTAAAACAGATGTGTGGTCCTGGCTGGCCTGGACTGTGTGTGTTAGTTCACAGAACTGTGGCACTGGTTCTCTTATATCTTGACATGGGTTCTGGAGAATCTTGAAATCAGGTTGCCAGGTTTGCATGGCAAACACCTTTACCCACTGAGCCATCTCACTGGCTAACAATTTTCTTTATACCCATTCTGTCTGCCTTGTATTGAACAGCATTTCTCCGCCTGCCTCTGCCTTCCAAGTGCTGGGATTAAAAGCATGCGACACCACTGCCCAGCTAGTGTGTACTTTTGATTAAATATCTAAGTAGAAGTCATTGAGGCATATATAGGATGGAGAACAAATTTTGTTGTTGAGATAGTATATCATGAAGTACAGACCGGCCTCCTAACCCACTGTGTGGCCAAGGATAACCATAAACTCTGAAGTTTCTGCTGGGATCCACTGTTTACCATGTCTGGTTTATGTGGTGCTAAGGATCCAAGTGAGCACCTTATGACTGTGAGGTGAGCACTCTCCTACATGAGCCTCATTCCAGTCTCCCAGGACAGCGTGTAAGAGCTACCCTTCCTCAGTGTCTGTCCTTGAAGGACTACAGAATCCTGTTTGTGCTGATGTCCATGCGGGCACCTGTCTTCTCCTTTCTCCGCTGTACTTGTAGACCCTGAAATCAGGCAGGTAGGAAGGTTCTACAGTGTGCACTTGGCATAGGGAACACAGGTCAGCATCCACTGTTCCATGTGATGTATCATCCGCCACTTCCATTTAAAAAGGCTAATAATCTCTCATCTGTGGTTCTGTGACTCCCTTCTTCTGTAACAAATAGGATGGCTCCCATCCAGGTACGAGCTGCAAGGAGAGGTTGCTTCTCACACTTATGTATAAACAGGTACCAGTTTCAATTTTATTTCATCATATTAACATACATGACATCAAAACGAGAAATGCACAACCGAACCATTCAACAGCTTGCCTTACTCCACACAACACTATATTCATATTACACATTTATACAGCCTTTCCACTCTGACTTTACAAACGGTCTCAACGGTTTCCAGCATTTCTCAGAGTCTAGTTTTGCTCATTAAAGTCATTGCTCTGCATCTGCAGAAGACTCCAGGCTTCCCTGTGCTCACAGGAGAGCCAGCCACCCACCACACCACCCACAGTGCGCCGCAGAGGCAGCCCTTTCAGTGCGGCAGTTGTGACCCCAAGGTCGGATAAAATGACATTAGCGATGAAGACTGTAGAGAATGACCGTCACTACACAGAAGGGACCATGGCCCAGGGAGCCCTACATGACATGGCAGAGGCAGCCTGCACACCACCCAGATACAGAAGCCAAACCCTCCAGTCCTCCTGGAACACACGGAATGATGGAGCTGTTGCTTTCATGTTTAAATTATGTCTTACCAGCGTGAACAGATTTTAAGAGGGTGGGTTCTTACGCATTTAGTGTGTGTATCAAAATTTACTGTGAAGCATTGAGAACTTCTGATTACATAAGAGATTTTGATGTATATCAGAAACAGATTGCTGAACAGAACCTCTGCAGAGTGGCAACCTGTTCCCACGCAGAGTTCTGCCTTCATCTGTGTGCAGACACAGCTTATCTGTACAGGACGTCCATGAGGACTATAATCCTCCTGGTCAAGCCCATCAGCTTCGAACCATGTCATTCTATGCTGGTTTTAGCAATCACTATAGGAAACATTAAGTCACATCCTAGTCAAAGGACTGTCCATTTTACAAACACAGAAAAACCTGAGACATGAGTCAGCCCCTGCTACACTTACAATAAAGAACAATGACTGTACCTGCCCCGCCCATACCCTGCTGACGTGAATTAAGGCCTTGAGAAGGACTGTACTCTGGAAGATAAAACTCAAGCCAGGGAGTTGAAAGGCAGATAGGCACTATCATGTACACACTTGTTCTTACTACCTTCTGTTCTCCGCTGCCAGGATTACGTACTTCCACAGAGACTGAGAAACCACCAGGGTTCTCCATCTGACATGTCCCTTCCTCAGCCTGCTGGGACAGCTTTCGATACAGCTCTCCTGCATTCATAACTAAACAAAATTCAACAAACCCTTTGTGACCTTTCTTAGTATGTTTTATTCTGAATAGTTCTTGCTTGCCAAAGCCCATGGTAAGTCTGGAAGTCTAAGATGATTCTAGAAATAGTACCCTTGTTGCATACCACAGGAAAAACAGCCACCAAGGAAATTGGTTTCCTGCTTCAAGTTTTACCTTCTCGAACCTTATTCCATGTCATGAACAGAACTGAAAAGCATCTCTTCTGGCTGAGGACCCGACGGCGCTGTCACCCTGCTACCCAGCCCAATGATTCACATTTATCTCTAACCCAAGTCTGTGGTCAATTTAAGGATTAACAACCCCACTTTAGATAATTCCTTGATTATTATAATCAATGTTTACTGTCCATCCCTGGCTCAAGTCTCTAAGCTACCTGACTGTGCAATCTCTAGCTACGCTGAACTCTAGTTGGTTTCCCCTCTTCTAAAGCAGCTGCCCATCCAGGCCCACTGGGATTTTGTGCACAGACGGTATGAATTTGTCTGGAAAGTGATAAGTTATTTATTCACAATGCCTAGAAAATGGGCTCCTAGACATGGTAGTGGTGATGGCCCCAAATGTCCTGTCTGAGGTACTGGATTGGTTAAGAGTAGATCTGGGCAAGGTTCCTAATGGTTCATCCAGCAGAATGATGCCCGTGTCCTTCAGCTGCTAATCAAGCTTGAATTTATGACTCAGCTTTGGACAGGATCATTGCTCTTGGACTTACCACTAGGGTCTGTCCCTAAGAGGGTCTTTCCCCTGACCCACAGCTGGCTCAGTCTCAGCGCTAAGGTGCACAGGGAAGGGCCTGGACAGAGGTGAGTTCTGGAGATCTCTGTTGCACATGAAAATGGGAGGGATTTTGTCCTCTAACATCAAAAACAAAACCCCTTGCTTTTGTAGGAACAAGATGTGCAATTCACTGAACAAAATCTCTTCTCCTGGCTGGGGGAATTCTAACATCTACCCTTCCACTCTTCTGAGAGAATCAGCTGCTCTCAGTGCAGGTGCTGAGAGAGTAACTGTGTTGATCCATCTTTTGCTTTTACACCGTAGCTCTATATTCCAAAAATATATATGTATATACATATACATATTTCAGATTTACAGGGAATATTTTTTTGTGAACAAGAAACAAAACAAAACGTCATCAGAAGTTACAAGGGTCTTTCTTCTCAGGAAACCTCAATGATTTCCATGCTGCCTGAAAAGCTAGACTGACTGCCCACTTTGCCCAGCTCTTCCCTCGACCTGTTCTCTGACATGATGCTCTCTCCAAATTCCATCTGGCAGCTTCTGCGTTTAAACTGCTTTTCAAAGGGGCTCTCTTCATGCCAGCTGCGTCTCGAGTCAGCTCTGTCACTGGGCTTCTGCCGCCTGCGAACAGAATAGACTTGGTCACTGCAAGTGGGCAGCTGGCTACAGCTGTAGGCAGAGTAGCCGGTGTTGCCTCCGTAGATGGCAGAAGCAGAGTAGAAGTGTGAGGGCTCTGTGGCAAAATACCAGCTGCTGGTCAGGGAGTGGGCAGAGGACTGGGGCGCCAGAATATCTGAGTGCCAGCCCTTGAGACCGTGCCCCGCAGCAGACTTGGTGAGGTGTTGCTGGCTGGTGGAAAGGCCAAAAAGAAAGTTGGTGTGGTAATTGTCCTCTACGCTCCCACTCCGATGCAGCGGTGAGAAGAAGGATCTCTGGGTGGTCCCACTACTGCTGGTTCTCACTGAGTGTAATCGCTTGCTCTGGCTCTCTAACGGCCTGGTGGGTTGGGGCTGCTTGGGGGCGTGGGCCTCCTCCTTATCTGGGCTGGTCTCTGGAGTCTGCTCGGACACCTCCTGAACGGGGGAGAACTGGCAGAGCTTGCTGGTCCCATCCAGTGTGGCAGAAGGTCGGTAGTACTCCACGGCATCCTCTGACGAGAAGCCATGGGAAGATGCTGCCACACTGGCCGAATACGAAACACACTTGATATCAAGAGAGAAGGAACGCTTGAGCTTATTGCTGTCTTCCAGCTTCTCTGAGGACAGCTGGAGCCCGTTGAATGCCTGTACCAGGGGACTGTCCTCTAAGAGTGACGGCTGTAAGCTGGGCACACTGGCAGGATGCACAAGCCTTTGCCCTGATGCCTCTGAGGTAGAGCTGACACAGGGTGGACTGAGAGACA